GAAACGTCAGCTCAACTCATATGATTGTGGGAAAATTCTTCTTCTACCAGTCCTTCATCACCATACACGAAATTGGGTGAATGCATCTCATATTTATGCCTTCTTGCTTTGTCGACTTCTTTCAAGCTGGTACAGACGAGAGCTCAACCCGAGTTCATCGGAGCGGCAGGACTTGTTCGCATAATGCGCCAGTCTTCACTTCGCGACGGCGAGCCGTTGCCACGTGCCGATGAATTCTCGCAACCCAACTCAGCAAACCTTTCACTTTGTGGCATGAACTTTCATCTCGAAGCACAAGTCGGCTCTTTGGAAACCGAAGGAAGACCGTCGCGAAGTGAAGACTGGCGGATGAGTCCTGCCACTCCGATCAACTCGTATTGAGCTCTCGTCTGTACCACGTCGACCAACCTACTTTGCGGGCAGCGCAAAAGTATTGTAAACCCAAAGAAAAGGTTGCCGGCTGCAGGTCGCATGAGATGGTTGGATTGAGGCCTGTATCGTTTCAACCCAATTGCCCATCAGAACTGTGAGTTACCAGGCGAGGGCCGACTGCTAGCAACAAGCAAGACCAGGCATCCTCGCTTGTCACATTCTCCGGCGGGACCGTCGCTGACGCCAATTTCCAGTTTCCACAGCAACCGACTGGGTTAACTGTTTGTTTCATTTTGACGCAGATCTTCGACAATCCCTCGACAGAATGTGCTACGCGAACATGTTTGGCTTTTTTGTGAAATCTACATCTGCTTCGAGACACTTGAGCATTCGTGACTAATGTGTTGTGCGCTTGTACGCTGCCACATCACAACCCGACTTTGCATTTTTGCCCGAGGGGGGCTGATGGGACCCCGGCGACTCCGGTCCATTTGGATGGGGGATTTCGTATTGGGAGGCGAGGCCAAGTGTGAAATGGAATGGAAACTGTAGGAAAACACATGTTCTTCACATGCGCCTTTTGTGTACCAGCAACCAGTGAAGCATGTGTTCGTTCGACTCGACCGAGGCTCGTATGATTGCCGCCCCATCTCGGCCCACTTGGGCACACATTCTCTCTCACTTGCGCTCGCCTCGGCTACTTCCGGCACGAGGAGTTGTCACCTTTACAGACAAACACGCAGACTTGAACACACAAACATACTCAGACACAGACTTGGACACAAACGAGAATTCAAACAGAGACATAAACAAAGATAAAGCCGCATCTGCCGACACAGATACACACACAGACACAAACACAGTTGCTGAAACAGACGCAGACATACAGGCACATGGACAGAAGCAGAAGCAGACACATACACAGACACAGAGCAAGACACGGAGACAAAGATGTAAATACAGATACAGATACAGACACATACACAGACACAGACACACAAACGCCAACAAGGTCGCGAATGGTATCAGGCTGAGCCTGTCTCGTCGTTGGGGTCGGGGTGGTCTGGCCTCCAGCCTGTTCCCTCGACGACGGTCCTCTCCGACTGGCTCGTGTCGCGGTCGCACACCGACAGCCTGTGATTGGCCATGTGGGATGAGCAGGCCAGATCAATAACGGCGAAACGGCGAGTCGGAAGGGATTGGCGTATGGCGAGCCATTGATTGCGCCTCGTTGGCATGCGTTGGCTTGTCGGGAGAAAAGCTGAACGGATCAATTAAAGTGGAGAATGGCTGCCATTGAAACCCTCAACTGGCCGTTTGGGCTGTCTCCTCGTCTTTACCGTCTCGTGGACGCTCGAGGAAGGACCGGATGGGACGGAGACGAGGCGAGGCGAGCCGAGGCGAGGCAAAGTATTGGTCGGTAGTCTCAATGCCCGAAACAAGGTGTCCTCGTCTATACCGACATGCATACACACACACACACACACACCCACATAGACACAAATACAGACATACAGGCGAAATGTGAGAGGAGTGGAGACGCATCAGCTGATGAGCCCATCTGGCCGAGGCAGACGAGCAGACTGACGCAAGCAGACGGGGTTGGTGGCAAGTTGCGACGAGTGAAGAGAAGGAGAGACAGCTGAGTCGTGGGGCAGATGAGGCGGAGAGGAGAAAAGTGGGCGGCGGAGTGTGAAAAAGCACTCGCATTGTCTGCGGTGCAGCTCAACTTGCCTCTTTTTCCGTTTGTTCGCCCTTTTTGAGGCGTCATTTATGATAGAGAGAGAAGGTGAGAGGGAGTGGAATAGAAATATAGATAGGGAAGAGAGATCGCAATAGAAATAGAGAGAGAGAGAAGAAAGATCGAAAGAGAAATAGAGAGAGAGAAGAGAGATGAGAAGAGAAATAGAGAGAGAGAAGAGAGATCATAAGAGAAATAGAGAGAGTGAAGAGAGATCAGAAGAGAA